ATGATGATTCTTCTGAAACCTCATAGTCTTTTACATCCTACCAAAGAAAAACAAAGGAGAAATCTTCGTTGACAAGTCATCAGCCTCACAAGGAAAAAGGAACAATTTTCAGTGGTAAAGCAGAAACCGACATTAACTACACAATGTGGTTCCACGTCTTAATTACACAATATGCATTTTCTATATTCTACCTTATTGCAATTTCCTGCAACTCATCTCTCTAACATGTATGTTATTATATTCCTAAGCAGGCAAAGTTGATTTCAAATCCGAACACCCATTTTTTGTGGTTACCACGTGGGAAACATATATCCATTCAGGTTAATTGGTAAGGTTTCTTATAGAGCCATTACAACACTTACTAATACTAACTTATATCCTTACATGTCAGCATGAAAATAATTATATAAACTAGAATGTAGTTTAATAGCAGATTATCTCATGAATTTTTTTCCATAGTCTGATTTATGTCTTTTCGGTTTTTTACCTCTCATTTGTTTTTCCAGGATGTGCCAAACAAGTTTTATAAGAAACATCTTAAGCAGCTGACTCATGATCGCTTCATCCATTGAGTTTCGAAGGGGAGAACTTGGGCCGTCAAATTAAAACCATGTGGCAAAGGAAGAGCTAGATTCTACAATAGTTGGAAGAATTTTGTGGAAGAGAATAGCCTGAAAATCGATGATGCATGCATCTTTGTTTTGATTATAAGCTTCAAACCTTCTTTTGATATTGTCTTTCACTGCACCGCACATAAAGTAGCAAAGAGCACCTTCAATAATTGAAAGAGAAGCAAAGCTGATAGATGAAGTAACTGAATTTGATCAACCTATATTGCACCATGAGTCTGAATTTTCAACTTATGATCAACTTAGGAAGCCCTAAATTTAAGTTGGATATATATATTTGTCCAATGTTGTTCTGAACTTTTATAACTTTAGAAAGGCTTCAATATCTAAGGATTTATATTGTTTTGAATTCCCATTGTCCATCTTCAATAGTCCTTTTGAAAAGGCATCAATCTAGGAGAGGTTTTCTTTACTTTTTCTAATGATCTCAGTCATCTTCATTGGACAGTAATGCAATGTGGTGATTGATTCATTTGCTCTTGTTAGGGTTAATCTTCTGCCAACATTTTAATCCTCTCTATTATCTAAGTTTTATTGTTGTTTGGGTTAATATTCGAACATTGGGCTACAAATGTGTGGGAGCCCAGAGATACCAATTAAAGGGAGACTTGCCCAAGGTCCAAGCATCAAGCCCAAAGACAAATTAGTGCATTCCCATTAATGCATAGGCCATGTGCCTATGATTTAAATACCAAGTGATAAGGACTAACTCAAAATCAGCCAAAAAGCAGTTTTCAGTGGCAATACAAATAAAAAGCTGGTGACTCACTACCCTCCAAGTGCTTTCGGGCAATTGCGAAATCACTGTAGTCGGGCTAATCTGCCTATAAAAGGAGGAAGAGGCCCCATAGACAAAGACACTCAACCAATCAAACAAACAAACATACAAACTCTGCTTTCAAGCCAAATTTGCATCTAAAAGCTATAATCATCCTAGATCTCAATCCTTTTTAGGATATTTCCCTCACAAAAACTATCTTTTGTTTTGTTTAGAAGCTGGCGTAGTATCGATTCCCTTGTGTAAAATGGTTTACCATCCATCCCTTGTTAGCATAGAAATCTCTATAAACTTGTTAGCATATAATGCTACCAAAGGACAATTGTTTGTAGAAAGACCAAAGAAACACTCAAAAGGTGTTGGATGGTCTCGGATTGGGTTATGAAAAAATTAATGCTTGCAAAAACAATTGTGTATTGTTCTATAAGGAGAATAAACGTTGGATAAATGTCCCTTATGCAATGAGTTGAGGTTCAAAATGACATGTCAAAATAGATCAACGAAGATCCCACAAAAAGTTATGCGTTATTTGCCTTTGAAGCCTAGGTTGCATCAATTGTATATGTCAATGCATATTACCATGGACATGAGATGGCATGAGGAAAAACAGGTTGATGATGATGTCCTGAGGTATCCTACAGATGGAGAGGCATGGAAAGAGTTCGATCGAACGTTCCCTGATTTTGCTGCTGATTCTCGGAACGTTAGATTGGGACTTGCCACTGACAGATTTAATCCGTTTGGGATTTTAAGCTAACACCGCAGTACTTGGCTGATTTTTGTATTTCCGTATAATTTTCCGCCATGGAAATATATGAAAAAAGAATACAGGATGATGACTCTATTGATAATTGAGGATCTTCGTAGGTTAATCGATGTATACGATAAGTGTACTACCAAGATGTTCACTTTGCGGGCTATAGTGATTTGGACTGTAAACGATTTCCTCGCATATGCAATGGTTTCTTGGTGAAGCACTAAAGGTTATATGGCATGCCCTGTAAGCAAGAAAGACGTAACATCTAGTTGGCATGCTAGAAACGTTTGTTACCTTGGTCATCGGAGATGGTTGCCTTGGGACCACGAGTGGTGAGAGAAGGATAAAGAGTTTGACGGGGAGAAAGAGCATCGCCTCAAATCCAAAGAATGGTCCAGTGATCAGATTTTAGAACAGCTTAACCATTTGGATTTTGCTCATTTTAGGACCAATGTCAATAGGACCAGACCTTTTACACATATGAACTGGACGCACAAGTCTATGTTTTTGAGCTCTCGTATTAGTCGAAACTAAAATTAAGACACAACCTCGATGTTATGCATGTTGAGAAAAATGTATTTGACACATTGGTCGGCATAATTCTAGATATTGAGGGCAAGACAAAGGACATGATCAAAGCTTGTCTTGATTTGGAACGAATGGGAATACGACGAGGTTTATGGATGAATAGGGACAATGATAAAGCCAGAAGGGATTTTGCGTTTTTTTTCAATGAAACCGAATGACAAAAAAGAATTTTTAAAGTTTTCATAGTGTGTAAAGTTTCCTAATAAGTATGCTTCAAATATCGCGTGTTATGTGAAAGTTGATGGGGGTAAATTAGCTGGCCTAAAGAATCATGGCTGCCATGTGGTTCTATAAGGCCTACTTTTTGTGGGTATTTGACATCGTTTGCCAACCGATGTAGTGAAACCAATCATGTTGTTGTCCAGTTTTTTTTTCGCAATTGACGTCAAGAACGTTACGAAAAATGGACATTAATTAGTTGTGTCATGATATTGTGCAAGTTCTATGCAAGTTTGAGATCATATTTCCTCAAGCTTTCTTCACAAGTATGATCCACGTGATGGTTCGCTTACCAGATGAGGCATTGCTTGTTGGACTAGTCAACTTTTGATGGATGTATCCGAAAGAAAGGTATATATTCCTCGTCATTTTTATTAATCAATATTATATATCTTACAATTAGTAAAATTTGTATCACATCGTTTTATTTTGGCATGCTTATCCAAGACTTGAAGAAAAGTGTATGAAACAAAGCAAAGCCCGAATGATCCATTATACAAGCTTGGGTGGCATATAATGTATTTAAAGGATGTTGAGACAACCTTCCATCATCCTCCTCGCAATAATGACGGGGGTGTGAGAAAGGAGAAACTTTCAGTTTTTGCCCAAATTGCTCGACCATATAGAGATCCGATACGAGGCAAGTCGTTTTTCAAGATGGACATGGAGGTAGCACATTGGTTCATACTCAACAATTGTGATGAGACACTATCATACCTAGACGAGCATGAAAATATGATGAAGCAGGCACATCTTTCACATTTGTATGCCAAGAAACACCGTGAATTGTTTCCGTAGTGGTTTCTCGAATATTTAAGTTTGAAGTGTTTTGTATTGGACATATATATTGTACCAATTAATTTTCTCAAACTAACAAATTTAAATGTTTGTCTAATATTAAGTGAATCAGTTGAAAGCATTGAATTCCCCAACGTACAGTGAAGAGTTATATAACTTGGCGTTTGGACCGATTCGCATTGAATTGTACTCGAGTTGCCATGTCAACGGCGTCAAGTTCTTAGCGGTGCATGAGATGACAAGTTATGTATGCAAAACAGCGGTGTTCATGTCCTAGGGGGAGGCGAAAGTATAGACATTGAATTCTATAACTAACAAGTGTCATGCAATTGCTTTACAAAAACCAATGCTAAGTGATCGTATTTAAGTGTCGATGGTTTGATACAAACCTAAATAGGCAAAGAAGTGTGAAAAGTGATCATGGATTACTATCAGTGAACATTACCAAAACTTGGTACAATGATGACCCTTACATCTTAGCAACCATGGCAAAACAAATTGAGTATCTAGATGACCATAAGGCTGGGAGGAGTTGGAAAGTTGTTTAGAAGATGGATTATAGGAACGTGTATGCTATACCAGAACAAGACCCTACTGACGACAACATCGACAATGTTGTTGACCAACATCTAGAATATTCGATGAAAAGTGGTGTGGAAACACTCCGAGATACTAATCTTATCCAAGAACCATTTTAGATAGAAGGAGTATCTTCAATCGAAATATAGATTCAGTTGATCACAATTGAACTCGGTAATTTTCCACGATCTGATGATCCAGTGAGCACAAACGATGATGGTGACGTACCTATCGATGATAAGGAATAAGGCACTGAAAATGATGATAGCAACGAAAGTGAAAGTTATTATAGTTGGGATGAAGATTAAGGCAATTTATGTATAACTTTTTTTGTAAAACACATGAAATGGTTAATGCATTATATAGAGTGATGGAAAAAAAAATGGTATGAATGATTCCCATTTTATACGTGAATTACTTTGTAAATAAATTTGTTTTATTTGTATTTTATAATAAATTGTAATCAAAATAAAAAAAAAGTACAAAAACCATTTTAAAACATAATTGCGCAACGCATAACAACTTTTGGTCACGCAAGCATTTTAATTTTACCCCGAAAGATCGAATTTTCAGCACTTGCGCGACGAAATATATGTATTCATCGCGCAAGTGTCTGAAAATTCAATTAAGGTGCTTTTTTTTGCGACAAAGCCTCTATCGTGCAAGATTCTATATTTTTGACCCTGTGTGTCTCATTCCTCCCTCACTTCCCAATTCTTCCTTTTTCCCCGTTCGATACCCACTCTTTCCTTCCTCTGTAACTCCATCTATCTCTCCTTCACTCACATCGTCTCTCCGTCCCTCTCTGCTTGTCACCTCTTTGTCTTCAAGAGGTAATCCTCTTCAGTTTTTATTTTCAATTTTGTTTATTGACTGGGGATTAGAATTAGGTTTTTTTTTTCTTTTTTTTTTCAAATTGGGGGTACTGGGGTTAGATTTAGGGTTCGTAAATTGGGGGTTACATTTAGGTTCTTAAATTATAGTTTTGAGGGTTCTTAATTGGGGAACGATTTTGGGTAGTGAGGTTGGATTTGGTTTTCTTAAATTGGGGGTTAGATTTAGGGTGCTTCACTGGGGGTTAGATTAGGGTTCTTAAATTAGGAGTTTTTTAATTTCAAGGAAAGGGTTCGAATTAAGGCCGTGGGGTTAGATTTAGGACATTGTCTCGCTCTTCATTGAATGTAAATAGAAAATAGAGTAATTTGTTTTTACTGATTATTCTGTATTGGTAATATTTTTGTTTCCATGGAGATATAGCTAGATTATCTGTATAGAATATTGATAACCAGGTTCACAGTTTCACACTTGCGGGTCTCATTTTCCCTGTTTGATATTCCCATTGTTTCTTAGGAACCAAACAAAGCTTTAACTTACAACTTGTTTCGATCGAAATTTTTGCTGCAAGTGTTGTTTCTGTGTAATTTTCACTGCAATCATTATGTAATTTTGACTGCTACTGTTTCTGTGTAACTAGACCAGAATACAGATGAAATTATTTGTGAAATTTTAAGAATTGCATGTTGACTGCGTTTTCAAATCATTAAGGTGCAGATGGCTTCGATGTCAAAGCATCAAGCAAGAGATAATTGTAGGATTAGTGCATTGCCAGATGCACTTGTTTGTCACATACTTTCCTTCCAACATTGTATGCAAAGTGATTCAGTGTGTTGAGAAATAATGGAAATCAAATAAGAAATCAAACACATGAAGACATAAATAATGATGTAGCTTAATTAGTTAGTCATACAATTGGACAAAGATAGTTATAGAATTAGGGCTGTGGGGTTTTTTTTTTTAATTTGAAGAACAGAAATAGCTTAATTAGCCTATTAATGCTTCTCTCTCGAAAGTCTTAACTCCTAAATAGATAGAAAGCATTATTTGCTGCTACTCACTCATTTCTAAATATATTGCATTGTTAATTATTCCAGTTAGCAAGCTCTATTTATATCCAATAGTCATAGGATTTTTATATGTAATGTGGATGTTTAAAGAGACTAAGAATCACTTTATATGATCCCTTTTCTTATTACTACCTGTGAAACTATTAAGTAATTATGGTGGAAACTGTTTATATTTATGTTGCTTAGTACATACACACACAACTTGCAAACATCAACACACACACACGCGCGGGCGCACGCACACACAGAGTACATGGAAAATTAGCATACATCAATACACGCACACACACACACACCCAAAGTCAGCATACATGACACACACAGACATAGTACATACACACACCCACACACATATAACACGTACATACATACATACATACAGACACATACACTCATAGACTATGATTTTGCCTCCAACTACTCCTTTATGCTAGTTTCTCCTTATAAGTTATAATTGATGGGTCGATATCCTATCTGAATTGGTTAGTTTGTGTATGGTAGATCAATTTTAAGTTTTGTTTCTGTCAAACTTGAATTCGGTTTAGAATTAAGGTTTTTAAATTTTGTTTTAAATTTAAGTTGAAATTATTATGCATGTGTACGGTAAGTTAAATCTTTATGTACGAAACAAATTTATTTTCAATTTTGTAGATGTCATAGCTCATTAGAACTAGGAGGGCGATGACTTCAACACTTAGTCTGACGACTACACCTAATACTGCCACCACTGCTCCAGCAGAGATGGACGATAGGCTGGTGAATCTGATTGACCTAGTTGGTTCTCTAGTCCTACAAGTGCCTGCATCATTGACTTCTTCGGTGGCACTACCTGTTGGCACTCGACATGCTCATCGGCTCCCCCGCACTCCGGACCAGATGTCGCCATTGGGATCCGCAACCGATGCCTCGGGTACATGGTCAGGTATACAATCCTAATTTACTACCTCATTCCCATGTTAACTGATTTTTGTTATTTTAGGTTCAATTTTCTTAAGTTATGTCATGTAAGGATTAAAAAGTTGTCATCGTTCTGAACCTTTTATTAAATTGTTGTGATTATTGTGTTGGATACGTATATTATTTATGTTATTTTCAGGGTTTTGAGAAATGTTTTAATTATAAGGGAGGTTATGCCGAAATTTTAGTAGGATTTGTTATTAGTTTTGGGTTAATGGTTTTTTTTTTTCATTTCTTTGCAACGAAGAAAAACACCCGGGGACCTTGTCAGCAATTGAAGACTGCGAAGGTCACCCGGGTGACCAACGGTCGTATCACAATCAGATACAATGAGCGACATCGGGTAGCACCAACGACAGAGCAGAATAGTGCATTAGGCCACAACATTGGGCATGTTGTGCGGACCTTTTGCCCCATGCAGACTTTTGCCCTATGCGGTGGAAGTCTTGAAAGGTGATGCCGGAGGGGAGATGAAGAACACGGTGCGCAATCATTTGTTGGTAAGTAGTGTCACCTTTTTAATACTTTTCATGTAAAATTTATATATTTATATTTATTACTATCTTTTATTACTAATACTTTCATAATATTTGTTACATTGCAAACAAATTAACTACAATTTGGAGGACATGTTGGCATACCTCAATCGTTTCTTCTTCGAACACTACAAGCAGTGGAAGAGTGACTTGCACCAATATTTTGAGCAGTCTGATGATCCGTAGGTCTCTCTCGAAGATGGTTGCCTGAAGGAGTTTGAGGACCGACAAGATAGTTGGGTTTGGCTCTACGGTCATTTTCAGGAGCTGGGCTATGTGGTGCTTTTTTAATTACGACTTCTTTCATTTTACTTTTTTTTTTTACTAATGTTTATTATTATTATTATTATTTTTTATTTTCTTTAAGTATTACAACTAATACGTTTATTTTTTGTATAGCAGAAGAAGGCGAAGGCGAACAAGATCAATCGGGAGAAGAAGACTCTTCTCCACCATTCGGGTTTGAGGCCTTTCTCCTATAGGATGGAGGCGCGGCAGAAGGTATATATTACAACTTTCATTTCTAATTTTAAAATGTCGCTAATAATTTTTTTATTTTTTTTGTACTAACATTTTCCTTATCTTTTTCTATTTCAAAAGGGTTCAAAATTTCCGGAGATCGACGTCTTTGCTGACGTTTATGTTTGAACTAGGGATGAGTTGACCAAGTCCCTTTAAGTAAGTAATTTCTTATGCATTAAAGATTTATACTAATTATTTCAAATTGTTTTCTATTAATAATCCATGTTTTTTTTTCACAGGCGACTATGGTGGAGAAGGGTCAGTCGGTGCTTCGGGAGTTCGCCTCCCAGCTTACCTCAAACACGTCGATTGAGTCTGTGGATCCCCCTAAGGATGCGGGGTTTCACATCCTGACAAAGACGTTGGACTAGACTTTCGCTCAAAAGCCAGGGGCATATTGTTGGGGGATGGGAAATGCCAGGCGGCAGGAGAGTCGAGCCTCGTCATCCTAGTAGTTAAAAGCCCAGGTTACGGCCTTGACGTAGGAAGTTGTTGGCCTGAGGAGTGAGCTGGCATCGTACAAGTCTCAAATGGCAATGCTTGTACAAGCCCTTAGTTCCTCCCGAATACGTCTCCCCGATTTTTCTGCATCACTGGCCTCAGAGCCCTTCCACACCAAGCATGCACAGCAATCAGGCCCGTCAACCTCCGACCCCATCCCCAACCACACCCCCTACTAGCAGCAAGATTACCAAGCTCCTCCGAACGACTTGCCTATAGATTATTTTGCTTTTTTTTTCATAGTTTTGTTCCCGCTTTCTTTTAAAATTTTGTATTTTAAGTACATTTTTATTCATTAATTTGCTTTTTTTTTTGTCATTTGTATGAAATATCTTTTTTTTATAATTTTTTTATTCTATTTATTATTTTTTATTAAAAATTACACTTGCGCGACGTTGACTGGTCGTTGCGCAAAATTACGCCCATCTTATATATTTCGTTGCTCTAAACAATGCACGTCTTACTTGCTTCGTCGCGCATTACCACGTGCATCTTCCATGTTTTGTCGCTCAAAACCACGCGCCTCTTACATGTGTCATTGCACAAATTTTTTCGAGACAAATTGTTGAGGGCCCCATAAATTTCTCGTCATAAAGCACACTTGTATGCTTTTATATCGTACAACGAAAGCCTTGGTCCGTATAACTTTCACGTGACGAGTACTAAAGTGTCGCACAATTGTTTAGATGCGCGACGAAATTGCACTTATTCGTCGTACAAGGTCATTTTTCACAACCTTTGCGCAACAGATTCTGCATAACGATTTGTGCATGTGACCCAAAAATGCTTTGTGTGACAAAATCCCCCTCGTCGGGCAAACTGTTTAATTTAGTAGTGCGAGTAAGGAGGTAAGCTTATCCTCTATTTCATCAATTTCTTTAGATCCATGCCTAGTATTTTGATGGGCCCTCTTAGCCGAATTCAATCTTGTTTCTTTGATTTTCTCTCTAACCTGGAACATAGGAACACCCTCGACCACTTTAGCCCATCCTTGTTTTATTGCTTCCCGACACCCATTCTGTGAAGTCCACTGTTCTTCATAACGAAATTGTATCTGACATATCAACGGTCTCCATCCACCCTAGGTGAGAAATAATGGTGTGTGATCTGACAAAGACTTCTTCAAATGAGTACCTTGTAAATCAGAAATAGTTCCAGCCACGCATGATTAGCCAAAGCTCTATCGAGTCGCACCTTTATTCCTCCATCCCTTGTTGTAAACCATGTGAACTTATTACCACTATAGCCCAGGTCAATAAGTCGACATCTCAATTGCATTCCGGAACCCCTCCATTTGCCTATCTCGATGCAGATTACCACCTTTTTGTTCATCAGCTTTAAGAATTTCGTTGAAATCACCAATACACACCCAGGCCCGTCGGAGTTGTCATGAAGATGATCTAGTAGCTGCCATGATTTAGCCCTATCGCTGACACGAGGATAGCCATAAAAGAAAGTGACTCGCCAATAGGACTCATCTCCCGCGCCATCCACATCCGTATCTATATGATTCGAGGAGTATGACAATAAACTCAAATCTTTATGCTCTTTTCACATCTCACTTAATCCCCCTGATTGTCCTCTACTGGCAACCGAGAAAAGAAAATCAAACTGCAATTGTACTTTTGACTAGGCTTGGAAATTCCTGACACGACTCGATAATTCGACACGACATAACACGAAATTAATAGGTGTTCGGGTAGACATGATAACGAATAGGGTCGTTATCGGGTAACCCGATAAGCACTTGTTAAGATAACGGGTTGGTTTGGGTATACACGTGGGTAACACGATACACGATATGCAAAATATTAATTTTATAATTTTATAACCCTAAAAAAATACTATAATAATTATATATATTAATTTAACAATTTTATACCCCAAAAAACTATAATAATTATATATATATTAAATTAAATTTAAAAAATTGGTGACCATTGGATCGGCTGAGATTTAATCTCAACCGTCCATTGTGCATTAGGTTGGAGGTTAATATATTTTTATATGGTATACTACTAATGTTTTATTTCTTCTCATAATTATTTTGGTAAACTTCTCATAATTTGAATGGTTTTTAATGTTTAGTTTTTCTATACTTAGTTTATGCCGAAGAGAGTTCTGACGTGGAAAACCTTACTAAAAACATCATCAACATAACTCTCGAAGGCAATAGATCAAGCCAAAGTTCCAATACAATTTTCTCATGATGATCAATGAAAATTGAGGATTTTGTAAAAGGAATAACATGCAAGCTTTGAGTTCCATTGGCAAGGTTTAAATTTTTTAGAAAGGCTTCACAACCTTGAAAACAAAAACTCATTCATTTTGCATATCCTTGCACATTTAATATTTTGTAATAGACTAGTAGTGTATGGATGTTTTTTTATTAGGCTCTTATTTTCGAGTGTAGATGTAGTACTTAAACGACAAATGTGTTTTCACGTTTTGAAGTAATATTTATGTGGCAATGTGTGGTATGTGCAAATTTAAGAAAATATATATATATTTTTCTTAACGGATCATAACGGGTCGGGTCACTTTACCCCGACCTGTTAAGGACCTGTTAAGATAACATGTGTGACACGACAAGACCCATTAAGATAGCATATGTTACACGAAAACGACATGAACACAACAGACTCGACCCATTTGCAGGTCTACTTTTGAGTCTTTCCATGTGATCATGCTATTCTTGGTCTCACAAAGAAAGACAACGTTGGGATCTTAATTAGATATCACCTTTTGAGTGTATGTACTGCTCAGGGTTCCCAAGCCCTCGTCAGTTCCAACTGATACAACTCATTACGAGCAGCGGGGCTTAGCTTCGTCAACTACCGATAAATCGAAAGACCTCTATTCAAATCAAGTCTACGTCTTGAAACACAGGTGGGAAAACAGAATTCTTCCTCATGATTTGCACGCTTACCCAACTTAAGGAGAGGTTCACGAGTACGTGCATGAGAACTGGCCAAACCCCCCAAAGAGAATTCCCAATGGCCCAAAGGGCTTATATTACTTTCTTGGACCATCAACCTCCACAAACTAAAGGATGTTGATGACCCCACACTCAGAACACGTTGGCTCATTCCACTATTGTTATAAGGGACATCTGCCACCTTATCATGAATCCGTGTCTCCAAGCATGGAGATGTTGAGGGGCTGGTTTTTATTATTGACGCCAAATAAGGTTAATTCCTGCTGAGTAATAGTAAATTTGTCATTATGATTCATTGACCCATCATCAATCAACATGGAAGGAATCTCAAGATGATTGTCATTAGATCCCATGGGAATAGGGCTAACTGGATCGCCAGGATAAGGAATTACAGTCACATAATCAAAGGAAAACTAATGAAAATGGCTTGAAAACTTTGAGTTTTAACGAAAATGACAAAAATGTGTTGTAAGTGAATAGTACCAGGATTGACTTTTTAGAGTAAAAATGTGGTTTTTCGTTAAAATGAACAATACCAGGAGTTTTTCGTTAAAGTTCCCTATAATCAAAATCCATATCCTCCTCGGACGCAGCCGCATTTAAATCTGGCAGATTTGGACGAGGTTGACTTTCTTGTTTCACATTTAACATATTATTCATTTCCTTTCCATCCCCCACCCCATTAACTTCGTGGTAAACTGTCTGGTCACCAACGTTTCAACAGCTCTCTGGTTAACCTTCTGACATCTCCTCATCGTCATAGAGTGGCGTTGCCATCTTCCAGCCTGGGGATGAATCTAACCCGAACAGTCTCCCTTGAGGTTTGCAATAATCCAAACTAATCACATCATTCTAGAACCAACGACCGTATGGTTTCGCTAGATCATCATCGTCCCACAAATAAAGCATGTTAAGGGTAATTTCTCAAAACGTCCCACAACCTCAATCTGTTTACCCTCTATTTGAATTAGTTTACTGCGATGAATAGGCTTCGAAATATCTACCAAATCGTTCAAATACGAAGAACTATTGAATGATGCTGCATATGATTGATTATGCAATTCCAGAAATCAAGGGTGCAGCATGGGCTGCACGGCACCTTCTATGTTTCCTGACAGATTATGTGTAAATCTCTTCTTAGTCTTGTAGTTGGTTTCCTTCAATTAAGAAGTAAGGCTGATATCTAGTGTTTGGTGTAATCTCCTTCAATTGAGGAGTACAACTGGTCTCTAAGGTTTAGCTTAAGGACTGTTGGATGTAACTAGTTCTTCTCTTCTTTTCTTTTCTTTTATATATGTGTATCCTTGTACATTCACATTATCAGAAATACAAGAAAACTTAAACCAAAACTTCAACATGGTATTAGAGGAGTGTCATCCTTGACCTGTCTCTGCCCAATTTTTTTCCGCTGTTGTTCATCTTCAAGCTCCAGTAATGGCTGAAGAAAGCTCAGTGAATCTTGAAGGAGAAAACTCACAAGTTTCTCCCACTTTTGTTCCAGACATTGAGATAAATACAAATCAGTGTTTATGCTCAGTTTTGTTGAATGAATTCAACTACCTCTCATGGTCTAGAGCAGTGACTCTTGCTCTCGGTGGAAGAGGAAAGCTAGGGTTTATCAATGAAGGAGTTAAAGCACTTAAGCCTTCCACTCAAGCACATGAAGCATGGTTATGCAAGGACCAACTGGTCATGTCCTTTTTACTCAACAACATGGAGAAACATGTGGCTGAGATCTTTAGCTACGCTGAATCCTCACAAGATCTATGGAAGTCTGTGAAGGACATGTATGGGAACTAGAATAATTATGCTCGTGTGTTCCAGTTGCAGAAAGATATTGCATGTATTTGATGCGAGAATTACTTGACACACAAATTAAACCCTCTTTTTGACAATTGTAGTATAGATGTAAGTAGGGTATCGTTCTAGGCCGGGGATTAGGAGGGATTGCTAATCTATTCTAAATTAATTTAAAAATATTAAACAAGACTCAAGGACACAAAACTAGGCTAAAAACTCTAATAACTCGAAACACACTTAGAATGACTCAAAATAATGAAAACAATCAAATTAGACACTAGGAACTGAAATGGACGGAAATTGAATTAAAAGACTAACAACAATGAAAATTAACTAAATAATATAATTTAATAATGGGGGGGGGGTTTGGTTTTGACGAGAAATAAATTAAACTTAAATAAATTACAGAATTGATAAAAACATGAAATTAAGATAAAAGGATAGGTGACGGACTGGCTAGAGGGTTCTTCTCCACACATGACACATATGCAACCTAAATTGATTTTCAGTTG